TACTTAGAAAAACTGGTATGAGCCAAAGTTGATCTGGTGACGGTAGAACTTTAGTTAGCGGTACTGTTCAGACTCATGCAGCTCACAGGATGCAAAACTTCAGTGTTCCTTCTTTACTCTTCTGATCCTATTGTCAAGGGTGGTATGCATTTCCCTGTTCTATATGAGAAGAATGTAAAACAATTTACTTTTGCTTGGGTGTATTTTTTGTTCCAGAGTATTCCCTTCAAGTTACAAAATTCTTTCCCTATTTATGAAAATTTCAAAGGCTCCTTAGAACAGGATATGGCTCACGCTATATACAGCTGATACTTATTACCCCTGGTGTTTATTGTTAGAGCCCGTTAACAGGATGTGCTCCTTCTGATCCTGGTACCCGTCCCCCCACCCCCACCCCGAAAAGGCTGGGAGCAGAGGAAGGGCTTCGGTGATGGGCTCACACTATTGTGACAGTGGGGGGTGGGGGAGTAATCCACCCTCTTTGTAAGGCCCACATCCAGTTTTAAATTCCAGCTGGAAAGGTTAATGCCGGGCCTCTGCGGTGGGAGACATTTTAGGAAATAAGGCTAAGAACAACATTCATTCTCTGTATCTAGTAGCCTGAGAGGCTAGAATACACTAGAATATTAGCACGACACTCAAATATTTATCCTCATAACAAGTCTAGGTAGTAGATACTATTGTTTGCCTTATTTTACAGATAAGGAAACTGAGGCACCAAGAGGCTACATGACTTGTCCACACAGCTAGTAAGTGGTGGAGCTGGATTCAAACGCAGGGAATTGACATCAGTGTCTGCTCTCAATCACTACCCACACTGTCTCTCTGGGCGCATGTTCTTTTCAGTACTTGAACTAGTCGGGTAGTCTCCTGAGTAGAAGGAATGGTGTCAAGTTAAAACCTTTTTTTTAATTACAAGCTCCTATTTTAGTGAGTAGTTTGGCTGAGAAACCTCCATGGATTTGGATCCTTGTTAGATTTGCTAAGAGTCTTCATCTTGCCAATAGAGATACGTAGGCATAGATCAAACAACCTGCATGGCCAACATTTAAAAGAAAGTATGCACTATTCACTCTCTTGACTGTGACCTAGGGGCTAATATTAGATCGCAGTCCCCAATAGCTTTCTTTGCATCTTTGCACCTACTGAGAAATGTGTTCTTTGCAGCTTGAGAGGCATCCTATTCACACTAGTCCTTGAGGGAGGAAATTAAGTCCCTCATGCCTCCCTTGGTGAAGGGAAAGACTCATAGCACAGTCCATTGCTGATAAAATGAGCACAAGAAAAAACATAACTCCTAGAATAAAGGGCAACTGGCAAAATCTCAGTGGTGCTTACCAGGCACACGGAGCGCCTGCTATACTTCCGCAAAAGACAAGGCCCAGGGCGGTTCTTCTGCCAGAGCACACAGAGCCTCAGCCCAGGAGCTGTCCTACCTGCCTCCTTTGCAGATAAGTCTTTGGTTTCCCATTTGAAAACTACAAAGTTTAGCATCCAGATGAAGGTTGAGAAGCCAGCTGCCTCAGTGCTTTCCATCTACAGCTGAGGTCAATTTTGGAGGCCGTAACAGGTAATGCAGGGAGAAAAGAAACTGGAACGTCACGGAGCACATGTGAGGATTTCTGCCCCATTTCAGAAATCTGTGTTTAGTTTTGACTTTTCTCCATTTTCCAAATTTCCCATAGTGTTGATTCTATTAGTCCAAAACAGTCCGTCACTGCTCACTTCTTTTTCTCCAGGCTCCACGTGGTTCCCAATATACCTAAAGACTACGTTAGCTGCAAGGCACCTTGAGTTCCCTCAAACATTCTCTCCTCCCCACCCCTCGCCTCTGCCAGCCCCCCCATTTACTCTCATTTACTTCAAACTGTAAAAACAGGGCCATCCCCATTCGTTGTGTAAACCCCAATCGCTCTGTAATATGGCTCCATTTATAACAAGAGCAAACATACATTGGGCCAGACATAACTCATTTAATCCTCAAAGCAATCCTGTAAGGTAGGTACTATCATGATCCCAATTAGGAAAATGAGGAAGCCAGGGCACAGGTAATTACGGGCATGCCCTAGGACTCCGAAATAGGTATTGTTAGGGCCTACAAATTTCCACCATGACTGGGTTCCTGATAAGCTAATTCTGTGTCTTTGGTGCCAAAATCATTTCGTGTTGGATGAAACGTCGTGGGTCACACCCAGCTTGGAGGGTCCTGTATTGTGCCGGGACCTCAGGCATAAAAGCTGCAGCCTGCTCAGGAAGGGACTGTCTGGGACTCTGCCACCTGACAGCTACTATCCACTGTCCTTTCTCAGCTCTCAAAGGGCTTGCTCCTAGTGCAGGCACCTCACACCCACTCCCGTCGCCTTTGTTATTTCTAATCCATTGTGTGAGAGGAAATCAAACCACTTGGTTATGGCATTCTGAATTTTCTCAAAGGCATAATGAGAATCGATTGGTTTCATTTCTTTTTGACTTGTACTTACAGCTTCAAAAATCAAATTAGAAATTGTGGCAGAGAGACCCCGTGGGATTTGGGGCCACTCCCCGACCAGGAAAGGCCATGGACTTTAGCAAAGCCTGCACTGCATGAAGTCACCAAAGACCTTTCCCACTCCTTCCAGGTGTTTTCAGTTGTGGGCAGTGACCAGGTGAGGGCCTGCTGCATGACTCAGGTGTTTACTGGCAGATTCTCATTTCATTCACGTGCCCACAGGCAGGAAGGACTGCGCCCCGCCTTTGCCAAGGAACATGCCCAGAGTCACTTAAAATGGACATCTGTACGGATTCCTTAAAGGAAGCAATTTTAAAACTTTTACCCAGAGTCTTCCCAGACCCAGGAAGTATTTCCACGTGGCTCAGGACTGTTTCCTCTCACAAGCTGCTCACGGTGAAAGCCACGTCTGAGCAGCTGCACACGTGCTTTCCTTCACCGACGCCGAAGGGGCTCATCTCCTCCTTTTAGAGGAAGTGGCCATCTGCCTCCACCCCGTCAAACCTTTACCTGGTTCCTCTTTTGACCCAGAGCAAACATTTCTGAGACTGTGGGACTAGACTGGCAGCGTGGTTTCATTACTATGGCATGTTGACTTGAGGGAAGGGAGGGTGGGGAAAGAGAGCCCTGAACTGTGGAGTCCAGAGTCCCCTGGTTCTTATAATCCCTCTTTTGATCAACTATTCCATGACCTTGAGCAAATCACTTAATCTCTCTGTAGCTCAATTTCCTCAGTTTATCCGTGAGCTGCTGGATCAAATGAGGTTGGCTGTTGGACGCATTATGAAACACTACCTATCCCCAACAAGCCACGACAAAGGTTCTTTTAGTCATTCCCTGTATCTGCAATCCCAAGTCACTGAAAAGTCTGCACCTACACTGACCGTTATGCCATGATACTGGGTCACCATTCACTTCAGAAGCAGGAGGTAAGGGGCTTGGATCTAAAACTAGGTAGCCACGATCAGAAAATAAGAGATCTCTTCTGGGGCTGGTGGTAATAAGGTACCCCTCAGATCACCCCCACCCCCTGTTTTTGGCCACTGCCCCTCTCTTGGAGATGAGAATGCTACTGAGCCTCCAATGGGGGTACAACTCCCTCCCTGGACCACTGATCCTTGCAAAAAAGAATCCTTTCACCCCAATATCCGCTTTCTCTCCTGGGACAGATGACAGATACACTGAAGAGCCAAAGGCACTCTCAACCTCATTAGACTGTTTTCAACACCAAAGTGAGTTCCCAAACTTTAAGGATTTCTCAAGACTCCAAATATCAAGCTGCCAGACACTAAGCAAAGGCTGTGATGCCATCAAAGTCCTAATAGGCTACCTCTACCTGCCTTTTAGGTAAGAAATTTTGGTATGAACTTTCTGGTCCGCCTCATCAGAGATTTTTATTTTTCAATGTAATGCCTTGGACTTTTTTTTTTTTTTTTGGTTGTCACTGCTGTAGTTTCAAATGAACACTCTGTCTGTTCAGTGGCAGACCGTTGTCACATTTTCCAGAGGGAGAAATGGGAACAGCAGGAAGCCCTGTCACTTTGCCCAGGGTTTGCTGTTTTTTCACAGCCTTAGCAATGAGGAACTTTGCCTCAGTGACTTAAGACTAAACAGACCTCTCCAAGGCTCCCAATCGGAAACCTGGAGCAGGAGCCAGCTGAGCTCCTCACTCAGCTGCATTTGGCCAGGTCAGTAAATGCCTCCAGGCTGCAATTTTCCGTCTGAGAACTCTGAGCTAATGGAGAAAGCAGGAGAGGCTGACTTGGGTAAACCAGAGAAACTACCCTAGTCTCAGGGTTTGAAAGGCAACTTGTAAGCGTCACAGAAAGTGACTCTTTCCCTCTGCTCTAGAACTCACATCTTCCCACAAATAAAGCCCCTTGAAACTCACAATACTGTACAGTGGTCCTGACTATGGGTTGGAGGGCAATCTGTTCCAAGCCCCCAGGAGAGGCTAGTCTGGGCAACGGGCCCCACACAACTAAGCCCAGCCTTGTTATCCTTGGGTCTTCTGACCAACTCTTCAAAAAATTGCCAGCTTCCTCCCAGCCAAAGGGCTGAAGCAGAGAAGGCTATAGATTATAGGCCAGGATGGCTCAACAGGCAAAATTTAACCAATGCGCCCGGAAGCTTTCGGGGACTTTGTTGGAGAAAATAGGGTGAAGCTATCCAGGAGTGGTTAGAACATAGCCAGAGAGCGTAAGAAGTCAAGTACAGGTGAGGCTGCTGCCTCTGTCCTAATGCACACTCACACTTAATGGTAGGACTGGCTCTTGCTAAAAAAAAAAAAATGTGGCCCTGCTCCTTCAGACTGTCCCGTGCATCGAGACTGATGTTTGAAAGGGTGGTCAGCATGCAAAGCTCCAGACATTACTTTGATATTTAAAAATATTAGCAACCAATTAAGAATGAACTCTTTGGGAGTATATGAAGGTGTGTGTTTATGAATGAACTGGAATGTACTGAAGAGCTGGCGTCTCCATGGAGGGGAGAGGGGGAGGATTGTCGTTACCTGGCCAGGTCGAGGAAGGAATCCACTGTCTCTTTGCGGACCGGAGGGGAGCCCGAATCCTCCAGCCCAAGGTCGCTGGACTTAAGGGTCTCCGCGCCAGACCCAGGCTTGATGATGAACGCCAAAGCGACGGCGAGCGCAGAGGCACCCAGAGTGGTGAGGCCGAAGTAGGCGATGGCGATGCCGCCCAGGCGCCCAAGAGAGCTGGCGTCCAGAGAGGCGGCGCCCGACACCAGACTGCAGACCACCAGCGGCAGGATGATCATGCGCAGCATGCGGAGCAGCATCTCCCCGGGGAAGGCCAGATAGGTGACCTGCGTGCGGCTAAGCCCCAGT